TAAATAATTTGTTAGTATAACATGGTCAAATAAAAAGACAGTTGTCTACGAGAGCCATTTGGAAATTATGAGTATAGTTCTTTATAGTCCATTAATGTAGTCATTTATGTTGTATCATCTTTGATTGATTTTTTTGCAATAGTTCCACACTCAGTAAGGGTAAAATCTTGAATCTTTATAGTTTTTGATATTTTGATTATTTATGAAATCTTGTAATTAATTTACTATGATCACTTTAATTGTTCTATATTCTATTCTGTTTGTAGATCTCATTCCTTCAATAATAATACTCTTTTACATATTGTCAAAATTTGATGATTGAATAACTAGTTGAAACATCATTCTAAACTCATTTGAACTCATTTGAACTGGGGTTTCATATACTGGTATATCTCATATTCCACTGACTACTCCTTTCACTAATCACATACCTGATCTTGGAGCCATTTTGAATATACTTGGTGGTTGATTATACCTATATGTTAAACTCAAGGTAACACAAATTTGATTTTCTAATTTTCACTGGGATGTTTGTTGAAAATTTCTGAGTCTGAAAGTGGCCTTTCCAAATTGACAGATGTAGACTTCCGAAAACAGTAATGAAAATGGAAGCTATCTTATATTCGCGACAAATTTCTTTTTGCTATGAACAACGGATTCGCGAAATAATTACAGCGTTGTTTGGAAAGATGTTGCTTGAACCAGAAGGTGTATGGATGTTAAGGATTATGACTGCTTATGCATTTTAAAAGTCATGTGATGGAAAATAGGGCAAGATCCACGACTTTCACAAGCCCTAATATTATTATACATTAAATTATTGATCCATTATTTATGGAAAATAAATCCTTCTTATCTTACAACTATAACCATATGCATCGTACTATATTCAAGTTAACTATATACAGCCACAAGTGTATTTCATTATTTCATACACTAGTTTCAAAATTAGATTCAATCTGCTCTATATTTATTGTCTCTTTGATTGAGACTTGGTTTGTTGTGGAACATGTAAGATTGAATTTAAATCATATTTAAATGATGCTAAAGCAGTTAACATTTCTTGAACAGAGTAGCCCAAGTATTTGTTGTGGATTTCCTTTATATTAATAGTTTCACCAAGGGATTTATGATGTGTTTTTTCTTGGTGCATTAATAATTTAAATAGTTTTCTTTTACCAATACCTAATGTGACAAGACCTTCGTAACCCGGTGCCCTTAGATTAGTGTAATAATTTTTACCTTCACTACCATTTGCTAATTGAACTGATTTAACGTCTTTATGTACTGGGTTAGCTTTTTGATATGCTTTCTTCATTAATACATAACGTAATCTCCAACCTGTTGGTCCTAATTCCTTCATTCTTGCTGATTTATCCTTCAGTATATAATTATCAACACCACCTTCTTTACCAATAGTTCTTAAAACTCTTGCAGTCAATCTAATTCTAATATCTCTTTCTAATATTTCACTCCATAATCTTTTTCTATGAACATTTGGTTTAAAGACTCTTTTAACTTTATTTCTAAATTCTGAAATACGATGACCGGTTTTTCTAAATTGACCACCATAAAGACCTCTATTACTTTGTTTATACCATAATGCTTCACCATATTTATAATCTGGGAATTGTTGTCTTTGTTTTGGCATATTTAATGGTTTTAAATCACCAGCTTTATATTGTGGTTTTTTGGCAACTTGACGTGAGGTAACTAATTTATAAGCTCTTCCAAATGCAACAGAGGATGTTGAGAAACATCTTGTCGATATAAGAGATCCAATACCACCGAATGATTTCAACATCTTTGGTTTGATAAGTCTGGAGATGTATATCTAATCTTTAAATTTTGATGCTTAATATTAACATTTGTTTTTGATTTGTCGAAGTTTTTCAAAAAATGTTGAAATTATTCGGTAGGGCCAGAAAAGTAATAAAGATTTGAGATCGCGAGCACTCGCATATACGATTAGAATCAAAAAAATTATTATACTACATTTATGAAATCCTGGGTATATTTTCAACGTTGATATTTAGATCAAAGATAGACTAAAATATATTGTATTTCACTTGAAAAGCTTTTTGGTCCATGATGATTGCTTTTGAACAGGTGTAGCTTGTGGAGAAGGTTGTACATCACCATTAGATTGTTTAGAATTTTTCAATTCTTCAATCTCTTGTAATAATTGTTGGACTTGATTATCTAATTCTTCATTCTTTGTCATGACTTCCAAATTTCTTTCCATTGTTATTTTCAAGTCATCTTCAAGATTTGAAGGAATTGCAACTTCTTCTTTAGCTTGTAAATTCTTAATACGATCACGAAGGTTTTGATTTTGTTCTTTTAAATCTTTATTTTCATCTTCCAAAGTAGCCAGTGTGACTCTTCCATTAATCATTTCATTTGCAATTTGAACATGTTCTCTGTTCAATAAAGTATAACTAGATTCAATTTTTTTAATTTCTTTTCTTAATTGATTATTTTTCAATCTTAATTCTTCAACTTCTTCTTGTCTTTCCTTTTCCAAACGATGTATTTCTTGATACTCATCTTCATATATCTTTATAGTTATTGGTAGGATCTTGACATTTGTAGCATCTTCAACAAATCTATCAACGTCATAAGAATCAACAGTAATGGCTGGAGCTGGGGTTTGTTTCTTCTTTGTGAAAAATCCACCAGCACCACCTTGAATAGAATCAACATCATCATCAACATCATTTGTTTCGTTATTATTTATCAAATATGCACTAAATAAGTTTTCTTTCAAAAACTCCAATAAATCATCAAATTGTAATGTTAATAATTTCGATTCATTAGCTTGGACAATAGCGACAGCAAATTTTAAAATTGATTCAAAACCTTCAGTTATTATAATATCAAAAATTCTCAAAACAAATTCAATTGGGAATTTATAAGCAAAAAAAGTTAAAAACCATTGTGAAGCATACATTGATGATCTAACACCTTGTCTCAAAAGATGTGTATGTAAATTTGGTAATAAATCTTCAATAAGTCTATCAAATTGATATAATTTTAAATGTAGACCTGGCATATCTGGTAAATACAATGATCTGATATTATAACCAAACATCAATTTGTTTAATAAGGTAAAAGATTCTAATTCATTCATATTTATTAATAATGGAACAGTTAAGAATGCCATACCTTGAGTATAACCAACTTCAGAATCTTGTATAGAGTATGATTTAATAATTTGGAATAATGAATCAACATCTAAACCGAAATCTTGAATGAATGTAGTTCTTGATAAATCTTTAGTAATACTTTTTTCATATTGACTTGTTTGAGTTTTCAAATTTTCAAAAATTGTTTCAAATTCTTTTGGATTTGAATTTGCAACTAATTGCCAAACAATACCTCTAATTTGCTTTGGGATACCACCTGATAAATGTTTAGCTAATTTTGCAGGATCAGATTTAGCAGTTCCCGTATAATCATTAACAACTTGAGTCCAAAATGGCCAATCAATTTTATGAATTTCAGAATCTTCAGCAGTTGTTGCTTGACTTTGATCAGCCGAAGTATCTTCTAAAGTTGAAACTTTTTCAGCAAATGTTGATCTAAGTGTATTTGCAGAAATATCAATTTGTTCTTTAGAAATTTCATCTTTTGATTCATAATCTTCATGATTTTCACTTAATCTACTTAATAATAAATCATAATTCTCTTCTAATTCTAATGATTTTTCAGATGTTGGAATTGAGCCAGAACTCTTGTGTAGCCATGATGGTAAAATACTTGTACGATGACTTGCCTTTTGTGCAGCTGTTAATTGTGGAGGCAATGGAGGTGGAGGTAAATCAGAAGCATTTTGTAAAGTTCTATTTTTAAAAGGCTTTAGACCACCATTATGATCTTCAGAAGGTCTTGCTGGTAATGCTGGTGGTATAGAATCTTGTGTTGTATTTTGAAGTTGATTATCCAAGTCTCTTTCAGGTAATGGTGGTGGATTTGAAGCTGCTTGTGGTGATACAATTGGAACATTTGATCTATCTGGAAGTTGTGGTGGCGATGTTTGATCAATTTTCTTTGGTAAGATTGGTGAAGGTGATTGTAAAGATGTTTGTTGTTTTGAATCTTCAACTTCTTCTTCCTTTAAATCATCAACATTTGTAACTATTTTCAATTCTTGTAATTTATCTTCAAGATTAGCATTCTCTTGTTTTAAATCTTCAGTTTTTGGAATGTCATTAGTTGATTGACTAATTGGTAGTTCTGAAACATCACCAGTTTCATTTAAATCTTCTTCAACATTCATTTCAATACTTGGTGGTTCCTGCTTTTCAATTTCAGTTTCAATTGGCAATTGTTCTTCTTCTTTAGATTCTTCAATTTCTGGGTCAGCAGCAGCAGCAGCAGCAGTTTCAACAACTTGATCAACTTCCACGTCAGTACCAGTTTTATTTTTCAAAGCTTGATCAACTTCAGCAACAATTTCTTCAGAATTTTCATTTATAGATTCATCTGGTAAGACATTTTCTTCTTTAGCTTCATTTGTAACATTTTCAACAGATTTAACAGCATCCGTTTCAGCCTCGTATTTAGGTTCTGGATCATTTGGAATCTTTACTTCTTCCGCATCATCCTTCTCTATTGGTGTTTCAGCATCTCCATTTGATAAATCTAACTGACTACCATTGTTTGATTGATTCTTCTTCTTCTTTTTGTTCTTCTTCTTTTTAGATTTTGAAGGTGAAGCACTTCTAGATTCTTCCGCTGTGCTGTCTTTAATAGATTCCGGAACCTCATTATGAACATCCACGGTTTCCTGAGCGTCCTGGAACGAGTCTGTATCTTCTGGCATCGTTTGAATAACTTGTGATATTTCAATGAAATGACTTCTCAAAACAATGATTTAAAAGACAATGAATTAAGAATTTCCTGAAGGCGATGATTGTTCTGAATTGAGTTTGATGTTTTTGATCTGTTTTTTTTTTTTTGAAATGAAAACATTGGAAAAGGCGCACTACTTAAATCCAGAACGCGACTTTTATAATAGACGTATAACGGTTTCATATCTACACGTTAGATCAAATTATCAGATTCATAAAACATATAAATATCCTGTATTCATAAAGTATTGTATTAGTTGTGCAGTTGTTTAAAACTTATATAGACCCGAAAGAAAACCATCCTAGTTGTTATAAAAATATTGTATCATAAACTTTGGCATAAAAAACGTTAAAATTCAAATCAGATCCCATTTCAAAGGGTCTCTTTTTCTTCATACAGCAATTTCACTGAATGTATGAGATGAATGTGCAAATGTGATAGGTGAATCGGCATTATCTGCAAAATAATATGATTCACCCATTTCTGAATGTTCCCTATTAGATTCTGAACTTGATAAGATAGGGAAAAATTCTCTTGATTCAATACTTGATTCTTCACTTCCTGTTGAAATCAAATCTGGGATTGCATTTTCAACCATATCAGATAATGAGGACAATTCATCATCACTCAAGGATGTATAACTTGTTGAACTTGAACTTCTAGTTAATTCTGGTTCAACTTCATTTGCATTTATATCATTAGAATAAACAATTCCCTTATCAATACCCAATTCAATTAATAATTTTTCCACTTCTTCAACATCTAGATTGGGGAAATGTATCAGTATTGCATCTTTTCGCCTTTCTAATGGTAATGCACCATAAGTATCAGAAATTAATTGAACTTGTTTTTGAATTTCATTGATTTCATATTTAATAGTTTCTAAATCTGATTCAATAGTTTCTAAAATTTCAGAGTTGATAAATGACATACTTGGAATTGATAATTCTAATTTTGGTAAAGTAAATTCAACAAATGCACCAATGGTTTGAATATCAGTTGATTCAGTTCTAGCCATTTGGAAAGTTTGTGGAGCTTCATTTGTACTAGCACAACCATGATAACTGATTGAGCTTGGATTACCACCTTTTGACATTTTAGAACTTAAGACTAAATCACCACCATTGTTTAAAAAACATCTTAAACTTGTTGTTAAATTTTGAACAGCTTCTCTTGAAACATTACCACCAAATGTTGAAAATTGTCTAGAGTTTAAATTAACAAAATTTCTGTATAATCCACTTGGGAATGGTCCTTTACCAATAGCTGGTCTTCTAAAAGCTGAATATGGCCATAATTTACCTGCAATATTTGAAGTTGGTTTTGTAAATCTTGGAGTTTTAATAAAATTATTACCAAAAGTAGTTGTTGTACTTCTTAAAGCCCTAGCTGAAGTACTAAACCCACGTCTTCCATTTGGTACTGGGAATCTTGGACCTCTTGTATTTCTAACTGGTACTCTAACTAACGCTGGTTGTGGCCGTGGTCCTAAGGAATTAATCAACTCATCAAGTGCTTGACGAGCATCCCTTACGGCTCCCCTGGTTAGTGAGACCAGATTTCTTAAACGATTTGCCACCATCGTTCAGACTAACACTGATTTATGATGATAACACTTCTGCTCTTTTTGATGAAATCTGTTCACTTGGATGCAGAGCTGAGAATATAAGAGATTAAAATTTGTTTATGATTTGCTGGAAATTTGATATTTTAGTGAATTCAAAAGAGAATAAAACTTGGTGATTTTAAATGTTTTTGTTATCTGGGTGTTACAAATCTCACATCTTTTCTTATTTTAGAAAACCGATGACGCATTTCCTGTTCGCGCCCAACAAAATGTGTCACGTCGATTTTGAACTGCCATTTAAAATGACGAGTGACTGGAACAACAACGGTGGGATACTTTGAGAACTTGTATTTCTGGAATGCTAGAGATATATACGGTAGTATTATTCGCTTGATTGATGATTTAATTGATTAATTCTTTGTGAAATCAAGTTCTTAATCAAAAAAAAAAGAAAGCGGTTGGGGACACAGGTCACCTGACACAAACAAAACGAGAACAACACCAACGTTTCAAAGCTCATAATTCGGGCGTGTGGCGTAGTTGGTAGCGCGCTCCCTTAGCATGGGAGAGGTCTCCGGTTCGACTCCGGACTCGTCCATAATTGGTCAAAAACGCCGAATTATTTTTTTGCAGCTTTTAAAGCTGATTTCTTTATTTTTGGCTATATGTATTGTTGATATATTAAATATGGACTACATGGTGTTATATTTTTTTAATCATAAATTCGTTAAATTGACCGTATTGGAGCGGTGTAACTATAAAAGTTGTATAAATCAATGAAAAAATCAATCATAGAAAATCTCGGATATACCAAAACATAACAACCATACCATCATGATTTGAAGTTCCAATCCATATTCATATTTTGATCATCATTAAATATTAAAGAATAGAAATCATTAACAAATTCATTTTTCTGATTTGTAGTATTTAGACTTGGTGGTTGAGATTGGAATTGTGCCAAATTTTCTCTATTAAGATTAGCAGTTGTTGATGATGATGATGGTTGGTTTAATTGGTTAGGTTTTGGGACATGAGAAAATAATGAACTAGATTGTGTACTTAATGGATCAAATCCGTTGTTACCATCAACATTTTCTGTTTTAATTTGTGATGGATTTAAATCACCAAATTGACCAGATTCATGGAAATTTAAACCTGATGCATTTTCAATATTTGCAATATCTGATGGTAATAAATTCAATAAATCATTAACATTATTTGGATTTGGAAGATCTTGGAAATCAAAATCTGGAATTTCTTCATCTTCATTTTTGATACCTTTACTTGGTGATTTTATGAAATTTGAACTTGGACCAACATTACCTGTAGTAATCCCATTAAATCCACTTGGAACATTTGTTGGTATTTCAACACTAGTATCAATAACTTCATCAAGATATTTCCCACATAAATTATCAATAGCCAGGATAAATTTATTAGCTAAAGAGTTAACTTTTGCTAATGATGCTAATACCTTTTTAGCTAGAACGATATCATTTCTCCAACTTGTAGAATGTTTTGATGTTGGTTCTGAACATAGACAAACAACTGAAATTAAAGCAGCATGGAATAAGAAAAAAGTAGCATACCAACTTGCAACAACTGAAATCTCATGATTATTGATGAAATTTGAAACTGATAAAATAGTTTCATGTCCACATTCTAAACAAATTCTACGACATGCTTTACCTTCTGGTGAATTTGTCATTTCTTCAAAATCTGGATTTTTAGCGTTAATAACTCTTTGCCAAACAAATGCTCTAAATAAGATAATTTGAAGATTTTTATATCTCCAAATTAATCTATATCTTGTTAATGCTAACCATTCTGGAGTTTGAGTTTCACCTGGTATTTTTGATGCATTTTCAGCTGTTAAATTATCTTCTGAAAAGAAAGCAGGTAATTGATTAACAAATTCAATAATCTTATTATTCAAAGCCAAACATTCATTAGCATTAGGTGAAGGTTTTGAAATTAATCTATTATAAATATCTGTTGAAATTTGGGTAAATTTAACTTGTTCAATCAACCCAGAATAAATGGTTGGATAAGAAACTGGAATTAATTCTTGTTTTAAACTTGTGAAATTATAATCATTATCATTAATATTTGATACATTTTCAATATCCATCATATGTTCACTTGGTAAATTAACTGGCCTACCAAATGTAATAGCAGCACCACCATCAAATATATACAAGCCCCACCATAATCTTCTTCTCATTTCTAGTTGTAATTGATTTTTAGATGATGACCAATTGGAAAATTCCTTGTATAATCCTAACCCCATAGCCATTCTTACTGCAAGACCTAAATAATTCCAACCTGTGTTTGGTTTATTTCTTTTTTGTGTATAATTACTTAATAATGTTAAAGCTTGTAATAATGGTATACTACCACTTTCAAAAACATATGATGATAAATAAGATTTAGCATTTTGATAATAATGTAAATCAAAATTTGAAGATTCACCATGTAAACACCAAGCACCTAATGCTAACACTGTATTTAATAAAATTTGCCATATTTCATGAGGTGGTGTTGGAATTTCATCTCTATATTGAGCTAAAAATGTTTCTTTATGAATAAATGGGTAAGAAGTATGATAATTTTTGAAATATGATTCAACAAATTCATTTGTCAAATATTTAGCAGTTAATGATACTGTTGAATCAACATCCAAAACTCTTGAATTACTTCTAGAGTCTGGACTTTTACTTGAATCTTCATTTTCATCATCTCTGGGTATTTTCAATGCTCTTAAAACAACAGCACTTGATGCAACACCAAAATAACCTTTATTTGATGGATTCAAACTTAAAGCAGCCATACCATCATTAACTGAAGATTCAACATCTTCTTCAACCCAATCAAACCCATAGATAGCATCTTCTGGAACATCATCTTCTGGGACTTCTGGATGATAACTATTTGAATCAGTAGAACCCACTGATAAAGTAGAATCATGTCTTGGAGATTGTTGAATTGGAGAATGAGTTTCAGAACGATTTCTTGGAGTAACACTCTTTGGTACTTGTCTACTTAACAATTTATCAACATCAGCATCTGGTAATAATTCATGAACCAAATTTTCAAGATCTCTAACACGATTTTCAACTTTTGTTAAATGAACTCTTGTTAAAGGAGATCTAACCACTCTTGGAGAATAAGTACACTCCCAATTATGTTGTACACATTTGGTACATTTAGGTAAGTCTTTAGAGCACTTAAGCTTTCTCTTTCGACACGAATCACACTAGAACACAATGTTAGACTTAAATCTCAACAGAAAAAAAATTTAAAACACCTATATAAGCGAAACACAAACAAGGTATTTCACACCATAAAGGTTCTAAAATATAATGGGATACTTACAGCTTGTTCAATAAAAACAGCCTTCATCTTGTCCCGCACTGCACTGCTCTTAAATCTCTTTACTAGATTGATAATCCAAGTTTATCCGACTCTGAATCCAATAGATAATGCAACTAAAACACTGATGGAATAGATTCACAAATCTTGTAACGGCCTTTCAACTTTTAAAATTTCGGATTCTCCGAAAGAATATTTTTCCTACGCGCTTAGTGACACGCGGAAAAACTGTGAAAATGGCAGAAATTCAAAAACGAGATACGAGGGTATAATGATCACATGATTCGCTCAAAAATGGTCGGATTTCGTAAGCCTAATCAATAAAAATATACTATAACCGTTTAAATTTGATCTGTTTGTTTGATTAATGCCTAGTGGTGTTGTTTGTTGATCAGACTTGGAAGTGCATTGAAGGATAGTGAGAGTGGATTGATACGAAAATGCTACGGTTGAATTGTATGGTTTTTGTGCTGTTCATGGTGTTATGTATTGGAGTACATGCCATACAAGATAAATTTGAAGGGAATATTATACAAAATTCACTGGATGAATTCATAAGTATAGATTGTTCTGAGATAAAGGATCCTGAAGAAAGAGCAGAATGTCTTGGGAAAGTGGATGACCTATTAGACTCAAAATTTGATGATTGGAGTCTATTGGATAAAAGAGATATATCACAATTAACAGGGTCTTCTGATCCCCATCAAGTTTATGATTGGAGACCTGTATCAATAAATATAGAACCTGGCCAAGCTCTTCAATATAGATTTGAAATCAATACAACACATCCATATAATCAAGTGTTTTATCAAGTACTGGTTTATATAACGGGAAATCTATGTAATCACCCAATAGGACTTTCAAATCCAAATGATTATTTAACATTATTCTATGGATTGAATGATACAGGAATTTTTGAAAATACTACATCAGAAGATTTACATGAGAGTCATAAATCTGAAGGTTTTGAAAATGGTTATCTTCAAGCAACTTCATATACCACAGTAAAGACAAATGGAACTTATTATTTAGATATGTTATTAGTTGCTGATGATGTTCCAGATTTTAATGGATCTTTCACTGTACAATTAGGTGTTTCACAAGATGATTTATTATTCCAATGGGATAATAGAACTTGGATTAACTTGGTGGACTCAGATGATACAACTGCATTATTCATTACAGGTAATTTAACAACAAAATATAATAATGCAACTGACATTTTAAGTGCATCAAGTAATTATTATACAATTCATGTTTTCCATGATGAACAATCAAATTATTTTTCAAATATGTATAGAAGTTGGTGTTCTATTGTTAATTCAGTTCCATTAGTCCCACCTGAAAATATTACATATTCATTTACACAAAGAGGTGGTGGTATTAAAGAACAAATTTATGTTAGAGGATTACAACCATCAACAGATTATATTGCATATGTGACACAAGATTTCTCAAATAAAGATGATGGTGGTGTTGTATTTGATAGGATATCATTCAGAACAAAAGATCCAGATATATGTCAATTAGTTTTCAATTTAACATTTTGTGATAATGTTGCATATTCAGTTCCAAGATCAAGTAATTTAGAAATTGGATCAGATTTTGCCAATCTTGGTAGATTGTATGATGAATATGCTGAAGAAGCTTTTGGAAATTTTTCAAAAGCACTAGATCAAATCCCATGTGATGCAGAAAATGATCAAAGATATTCACCAATCGTTACATGTGATGATTGTAGAACATCATACAAAAATTGGTTATGTGGTGTTACAATTCCACGTTGTACTACAGAAAATCAAACACATTATAAACATCGTCCATTAGGAGAATCAAGAATGGATTTTATTAATGATTCAATAGATCCTCCAAGTGAATATTTTGAAGTTTTACCATGTATAAATATGTGTTATGCAATGGTTCGTGATTGTCCTGCTGATTTTTCATTTTCTTGTCCAAGGGATAATGCTTCTCTTGTAAAGAGTTATTATTATAAAGATGATGATTATTCATATGATACTTGTAATTATGTGGGTATCATTCCAAAGACAAGTGGTGCTATACATGATGTTGTGATGAACAAAGGCATTCTATTTGTTTCTTTAATGTTTATTGGGTTTGTTTTGGGTTGAATTTTGTTTATATTCAACTTTATATATGAAAAGATTTGGAAATTAGATTTTACGTGTGCATAGTTTATAAATAAATGGATTAATAATTTATTTTATACATCTATTTATGTACGTATTGTATATATGAATATTGATTAAAAAAGCAAATTAAAATTAAACGTAAACTTCATTATTATTGATCAGCTGCAATTTCTTCAACTGATGGACAAGTACATAATAGATTCAAATCACCATATGTATCATCTAATCTTGCAACTGTTGGCCAAAATTTATTATCTCTTAAATGTGGTAATGGATAAACAGCTTGATCTCTAGTATATCCTCTAGTTTCCCAATCTTTTGATGAAACAACATCACTTAAAGAATGTGGAGCAAATTTTAAAACTTGACCTAATGGTTCACCAGCAATAAATGCATCAATTTCACTCTTGATAGAAATCAATGAATTAACAAATCTATCTAATTCTTCTAGATTTTCAGATTCGGTTGGTTCAATCATTAATGTACCTGGAACCGGGAATGCTAAAGTTGGTGCATGGAATCCATAATCTTGTAATCTTTTAGCAACATCAATAGCTTCAATACCTTTGTTTTTATAAGCTCTTAAATCCAAGATAAATTCATGACCACATTGTTTGACACCATCTTTACCAACAAATGCAATATCATAATATTCTTTTAATCTAGTCATCATGTAATTAGCATTTAATAATGCAATAGTAGAACTGAATGGTAACCCAGTAGAACCTAATAATTTAATATAAGCATATGAAATTGGTAAGATTGAAGCTGAACCATATGGGGCAGAACTAACAGATTCAATGGATTGTTCAGTTGAACCTTCAATTTCCACAATTGAATGTTTTGGTAAGAATGGAATTAAATGCTCAGCAACACAAATTGGACCAACACCTGGACCACCACCACCATGTGGAATTGCAAATGTCTTGTGTAAATTCAAATGACAAACATCAGCACCTAAATCACCTGGTGAAGTTAAACCAACTTGTGCATTCATATTTGCACCATCTAAATAAACTTGACCACCATTTTCATGAACCAATTCAATAGCACGTTTAACTGTTGGTTCAAATAAACCATAAGTTGAAGGATATGTAATCATTATAGCACCTAAGTTATCTTTATATTGTTTAACCTTTTTTTCAACATCTTCAAGATCTAATGAACCATTTTCTAAACATTCAATTGGAATAACTTTAAAATTTGACATAGCTGCAGATGCAGGATTTGTACCATGAGCAGAAACTGGAATTAAACAAATATTACGATTAAAATCACCATTTGATTCATGATATTGTTTAATAACTCTTAAACCTGAAAATTCACCTTGTGCACCTGAATTTGGTTGTAAAGTAGTTGCACTAAACCCAGTAATATTAGCTAAATCTTTTTCCAAGACATCAATTAATTCTTTATAACCTTCAACTTGATTTTTTGGAACAAATGGATGAATTGAACCAAATTCTGGCCATGATAATGGTAACATTTCCACAGTACCATTTAATTTCATAGTACATGAACCTAATGGTATCATTGTATTAGCTAATGAAATATCTTTATTATGTAAATTGTGTAAATATCTTAACATTGCAGTTTCTGAATGATGTAAATTGAAAACTGGATTTGATAAAATTTTATCAGTTCTTGTTAAATTATTTGGAAATTCTGGGAATTCAGAAATTGATTCAGTTGTAATAGCTTTACCTGTAAATAATTCAGTTAGGTCAACTAAATCTTTTTTGGTAATACTTTCATCCAAACTTAATGAAATAGTTGATTCATCAACTTTAAATAAATTGATTTGATATTGTTCAACAGCCTTGGATAAAATTTCATCACTTGAGACCCCATCAGATAATTTAATTGTTAAAGTATCAAACCATTGTTTATTTTCAATGGTATGTGAACTATTTTGTTGAATATAAGAAGCTAAAATTGAAGTATAACCATAAACTCTTTGAGCAATTTTTTTCAATTGAACAGGACCATGATAAACTGCATAATTTGATGCAATATTAGCTAATAAAGCTTGAGCAGTACAAATATTTGAAGTTGCCTTATCTCTCTTAATATGTTGTTCTCTAGTTTGTAAAGCTAATCTAAGAGCTTGATTTCCTAATCTATCTTTAGAAACACCAACAATTCTACCAGGAATTTTTCTATTTAATTTTTCAATAACTGAAAAAAAAGCAGCATGAGGACCACCAAAACCCATTGGAACACCAAATCTTTGAGATGAACCTAATGCAATATCAGCACCAAATGATGATGGTGGTTTTAATAATGTTAATGCTAATAAATCTGAAGCAACTGCAAATAAACCTTTTGAAGAATGAACAACATCTGAAATTTTTTGTAAATGATCTAGATCTAAGATATCACCACTTGAGGATGGATATTGTAATAATGCACCAAAAATTTCACTTTTAATTGATTCTAATTCTTCTAAGCCTTGTTGTGTAGTTAAATCTAATTGAACAATTTCAATATTTAATGGATAAGCTCTTGTTTTCAAAACTGATAAAGTTTGTGGATGAATATCAGTATCAACAACATATTTTGATTTTTTCTTTCTTGCATTATTATAAGAAATACTTAATGCTTCAGCAGCTGCAGTACCTTCATCTAATAAAGAAGCATTTGAAACAGGTAATCCAGTTAAATCTGAGATAACAGTTTGGAAATTCAATAATGATTCTAAACGACCTTGTGAAACTTCTGGTTGATATGGGGTATAAGAAGTATACCATTCTGGTGATTCCAAGATATTTCTCTTAATAACTGGTGGAGTTATAGTATTATAATAACCTTTACCAATAAAAGATCTGAAAACTTTATTCTTTTTGGCAATTGATTCTAAATTAGAAATCATTTCAGTTTCAGTGAATCCATGTTCTGGTTGAATATTTAATTTTCTCTTGATTAATACATTTTCAGGAACTGTATTAGCAACGAAATCATTTAAATCATTAAAACCTAAAGTTGATAACATATGTTCAACATCTTTATAGCCAGGACCTAAATGACGTCTTTGGAAATTGTCCAAAGGTTTCAAACGATCTTGAGCATTTGTTGAGATAGAAGGATCATAAACTTTTTGGAAATTTGCCAATGAGACATCACTTTTTGTACTTATAGTGGAATTATAACGAAGAGATAGACCAGCAGTTCTCTTCAAAGCAGCAGCACCACCAGCACTTGAGCGGTTCAACAAACGAGATGATATAATTCTAGATCTTGCAAGCATACTTTTCTTCTCCTTATAAGCAAATGGGAATATGTGTCAAATCAAAGATAAGAGCTATTAGCGAACAATTGAACACAGCGGTAAGTCTCAACCAACTTCCAAACCAACTATTAAGCCTTTAAAGATCCCTTAGCAAGTCAATAGAATCTAACAAAAACAAACAAAAAGAATCTAAAAATCTTCAACCTTTTCCAAAACTTTTCCAGTGCTTTAAACAGAAAAAAAATTCTGGTTATCATATGCAAATCTAATAAAATACACGGAGAAGAGTCAGATCAGTGGAAGTTGGAACAGAGTCACTAGAGATTCAAGCCCGGGGAGAACAGCGATAAGTACGACGCGAGTCAATTTTGCCCCATAAAAGAAACGCGTTCAGCCGGGAGCAGCACTGACTCGGATTTGACAAGTGTAGTTTGTTACTATACAGAGTCAAATTAATTGGTATAATATTAACAAATTTGAACAATATACAAACGATTTGGAATCTGTTGAACGATGGTACCACTGTTACACTTTGACCCCTTGGAATCCCTTACCACTAACAACACCAATCCAATCACCGTCAGTATTCCAAGTAACATTATTAACTTCTAAATTATCATTATAGGCAAAATCTGGATATTCAATTACATTACCACTATTATTTGATTTTATTGGTGTAGTTGTACTATTATTTATACTTGAATGTTGAACTGATGATTGTTTTGATTTAGAATTTGTATAATCCCAAATAAATGCTTGACAATCATCACCACCTGATAATAATTCTTGCTTTGTTGGATGCCATTCTATAGAATTTACTGAACCATTATGTCCGGCAAGTATATTTGTGGGTATACCAGGATATCTCATATCTAATATGATAATTTGATCAGATTTTGCACTAAAAGTTGCAATAACATTTGGATCAACATTTGATGTACTTAATCTTAATAATGCTGTACTATTAGTACTACTTTGATCTTGAGTTGTTGGGATTTGATTGTTATTACCTGATGAAGAAGTATTAGAATTTAATGTAGCAGAACTTGAACTTGATGATGTATTTGAATTTGATGAAATTAAAGGAGGTTCATAAATAATTGTTGAATGTTCTAAAGATCTTAAATCGAAAACTCTCATTGATCCATCATTACCAACACTTGCGAAAATATCTGAAGAATTTTGAATAAATTCAACATCAAATACTTCAGAATCATGTGCAATTAATTGTGTCTTGGGAGAACTTGGATGTAATAAATCCCAAACTGTACATGTAGTATCAATACTACTTGTTATAACAATATTTGGAGAAATTTTATTCCAATCAAATGAAGTTAATGGAGGTAATGATTGAGGTTTATTTGAAAAACCTGGATGACCATTATGATTATGTTGAACTCCATTAATTAAATTTAATCTTTCAATTAATTGATTATTATAATTATCAACTTCCCATAATTTTAATCGATCATTTGTTGTAATTAATTTTTCTGAACCTGCAGGGTCCCATTGTAAATTTGTTATTGGTAAATTAATATTTGTCTCTGCAATTTTGGTAAAATTTATACTTTCAGACATTGATTGACCATTTGAATGTTCAACATAAGTTGTTGAACCATCTAAAATTTCAATTTTATTTATAGCATCTTCTCTATATGATGATATTGCAACGGTTTCAGTACCTGTATTCCCATGCCTACTCCAATCACTTGCAAATAATGGCCAATGAGTTTCATAATATGCAGAACGAACAGGTAATTGAGATTGTAAACCTTGAGATTGAATTATTGAATTTTGAGGTGAATTTTGTAATAATTGAAAACGATCATATTCATTAAAATTATCTGTAGAGGGTAGAGTGGGTTAGTGATGTGAAACTTATAGAATGGAGTTTTGGAAATGTTAACTTACTTGGTTTGAATGAACCAACAGAAAATGAACTTCTTTTGGATTTATTCCAATCCATTTGTTATTATATTATGTCTTGCTATGGGATTAAGAATGGATGTAAATGCTTGTTGTTTGAAAAGTCAAATGGAAAGTCAAGACTTTGTGGATAAACAATTATGATGTTCTTGAGTACCACCCTTGTTTGAACCAGTACTATAGAAGTATGTAAATCAAAACAATAATGTATACTTCTTTAATTTTGCTCTAGTATATCCATTTCCCATATTACACATAAATGGAAAACAATAATCAATTGGATTTTGGAAAAGGGGACACACAAGAGAAGGAAATTATAAAAGTGCATTAGTAGGGATTCGAATGGGGGTCTTCGGTAAAAATATTCAAATGCGCAATAACATAATCATCGTAAATACTTTGAACACAATTTTTAAATATAGAAACATGCTAAACATTCCAGACTCCAGAGCAAAGCAAGGAGGGAGTAATAGATTATGTGCTATGATATATGGCTATACACTATACCATGATGTAGACCTATATATCAGTTGTTCTATACATTAGTACATCAAGTATCTCCAGAGTTCTAGTACATCTGAGTATTACAAACACAAACATACGAATTACTAAGAGGAAAGAGCTAGAATTAGTATACTAGTAGAAGACCCAATATATATAGTATAGTAATCAGGAACAACTGAACAAACATCACCATCACGATTCACCATCAACACCAACAACATTCCAACATTCCAACGATCCCAACAGTCACGATTGTTTTATTGGCCGTTTCTGACGTAATTGGTTCCGTGTGTCTTGCTCGATCAACAATACATTGTTGATTATACATACGATCAACATCTAAAAGGCTATAAACTGTCTGAGAAGTGAGCAACCAGGTACACAAAACACAAAACACAGAACACAGAACATCATATAGTAGTAGTACCATGGCATAGTAGTATATAGTATAAGTTCACACTCACTTCAAATCTGAATTCTTTCCTATAGCAAATGTCTAGGAAAAAGTCAAAGCTAAAGTGACACATCGGAAATGATGTATCAGCTTGCTTTCATAACGCTCGATGCTTTAATAAGTTATACATCTCCATACACAAAACAACATACGCTGTCTATTATAAAGCAAATGGATTGGTCCAACTGATCCCTTTTGATCCGTCCTAAACAGCAGCTAAAATGCATTCAGTTGATCTCAATTCTTAGATCACAAAAGTTGACAAATCTACGTAATCACAAACACCTAATTACAAATCTATACACAGCTATATATATATCGGCCATACCGCCCACAAATCCACACAGGAAAACCAACTTTAGTACATTCTCTCTTACACTAAAACCATCATCAACTCTTCTTTAAAACATCAACAGAAGATCAAAAACTTCTCATTCATTAAACGTTTCATTCATTCTTCCGGTTTGTTAGCAACAACACAAAATTGAGATTTGAGAATAATTAAGCTTATTTAAAAAAAAAAACATTTGACATCATGACAACTTCAATCTTAACTTCAACTTTACAAACAATTAAAACAAATTGGCAAACAATGTCTGTGAGACAAAGATTACTTAAAGAGTATAGAACTCTTGAACATAACAATTTAGATGGAATTAATCCAATCTTAACAGAAAATTTACATTTACTTTATGCAGATATAAAAATATTTGATAATGAATTATATCAAGATACTTATCGTGTTAAAATTATGATTCCAGAACAATATCCTTATGTTTCTCCAGTGGTAATATTCATGAAATCAACTGAAGATAATATCAATACCATACCAATCCATCCTCATATTTATTCAAATGGTCATATTTGTTTAGATCTTTTGGGTCCAGCTTGGACTCCAATTCAAACTATAAATTCTTTATTAATTTCTTTACAATCAATCCTTGCTTCAAATTCAAGAAATGAAAGACCTAGTGATGATGAAAAATATGTTGCTAAAGCTCCTAAAAATCCTTCCAAAACAAGATTTGTTTATCATGATGAAACTATTTAGGTTAAAAAATCAACAAGTTCAAACCACAACACACATATACAATACAGATAAATAATCCTTATAAAGAGGTCATTCAAGGATTCAACTCATCATTATCGGGTTCAGTTCATTATTTCATATCATATCATATCATATTATACCATATCATACTATCATATCATTGCTCTTTGTTGCTTCATCATGTTTTAAGTTGTTTCTTCATTACATTGCATTATTATACACAATCATTTTCAAAAGCTTTAATCATAATTATATTTTATACTTATCTAAAAAAGATGCTGGTCAGAGTTTTTATTTACATTAAAATTTAACTTAATAAGATACTTTATATACTATTATAAATTAAGCTATATGTAGAAAAGTCGAGATTACAACTGGTTATCATTAATTTATATACATTAATCTTTATCTATATATGATATTTCATAAAGGCATTGCACTTTGTGTTGGTTTTCTTATTACTTTTTTAGGTTTTTGTGATGAAGTTGGTTTATTACCACCATTTGATCCATTATTATTTTTATATGTTTTCTTTTTTGAATATTTTTTATATTTACCATTACCTGATTGTGAAGATTTTGTTCTTTTTTTGGATTGTGTTGAATATTGATTTAAAGATTGTGATTGTGATGCATTTGAAGGTTTTTGAGATTGTCTTAATTGATTTATAACGTTTAAATTTTCTTCTTGATCACGATTACTAAAATATATAGATCTTGAATTTGTAGCTGTTGATTGAGGTTTTGATGCACTTCCATTACCATTACCATTTGTTTTTAAATTTTTAAAATTTTGTAAAACTTGTTTAAAATAATTGAAATAACCCTTTTGAATTTCATTTTCGAATCCTTCTAATTGTTTAAATTCAAAATCTGTTTGTGGTAATTTTCTTGCCATAGTTTTCAATAATCGATCACTTGCAACACTTGTTGATGCACTAACATTTAATCTTGACATGGCTTTATCTCTTGCTTCTTTTAATGATATAAATGCTCGACTATAATCTCGTTTTTCTTGACTATTTGCAAACGTTGCTTCACCTAATCTAATTGGTGTTGAAATACTTGGTTGATGTTGTAAATTTGAATTTGATCTTACTAATTCTCTTGCGCTTGTAAAACTTGGACCTCCTGTAGCTGTTGTTCCAATTCCTGATGCATTACCATCACCATTTCCATTTTCATTACCATTAAATCTAAAATTATTAATCTCATCTCGATTTAAAGTTCTTGATCTTGATCTAGGTGTATTATTATTGTTATTACTTGGTGCTCTATTTAAACTTGCATTTGTATTACCACTTCCAGGTCTTGTTCTTTTAGAATTTGTGAAAAATGTCATTATGATTCTCTTTTTATTATTCAGTAATTTATCAGCTTGTGGTCCCAGTTTAATATAACTTGATGCAAAACCTGCTTTGTTGAAAATTGAAAATTCTTCAAGAATTTTTTCAGCAATTAAATGGAATGCAATTCTTTCAATATCAACTTTTTCTAATTCTTTACCTGCTCCATGTTCATTTAAATTATCATGTCCAGCTTGTGTAACTTTATTAGATTTAGAACCTTTGAAAACATCTTGACAATAAATTAATGTAACTTTTTCATGTTCAATTGATTTAACTAATTCTGTCATTTTTTTAGCATATTCTGTAACATCTTTATCAAATTTTGTAGAAGCATCTGAACCTTTTTTACAATTATCACAATTTTTAGCACATTGATCTTTATGAAATTGTTCATTAAAATATTGTAAAACTTGTTGACGACGACAATCTGTTGAATTTTCACAATATTGAATAACTTGTCTTAATTTTGTTAAATGTTTTTCTTTACCTGCTTTATCTAAATCTTTATCTCTTGAAATCATATTTTGTAAAGTTCTTGCATCTCTAAATCCATAAAACATTGTACAATATGAATAATTACCATCTCTACCAGCTCTACCAGTTTCTTGATAATAACCTTCTAAAGTTCTTGGTAATGTTAAATGAATAACAAATCTAACATCCGCTTTATCAATACCCATACCAAATGCAATTGTGGCACATATAACTTTAATAGTGCCATTTTGCCATGCTTTTTGAATATCCAATCTATCTTCTGGTGTCATACCTGCATGATAAAATGCACATTTTATTCCACTATTAATTAACTTGTCAGATGTTTGTTCACATGCATTTTTAGAATGACAATAAATAATACCAGTTTGATCTTTAAATTTACCCAAGATGGACATTTCAATATGTTTCATATGATCTTTATCTTTATTAAGAACTTCATAAAATAAATTAGTTCTATTAAAGCTTTGTTTTAAGAAAACAGGATCTTTAAGATTTAAATTATGAATGATATCCATTTTAACATGATCATTTGCAGTTGCAGTTAATGCCATAACAGGAATTTCCGGATAATTAGTCTTGAAATAACTAAGATGTTTATAATCAGGTCTAAAATCATGACCCCAACTACTAACACAATGAGCTTCATCAACAACAACTCTTGCTAATTTCCCCTGTCTGTATAATCTATCAATTGCATTCTTAGCTTGATTTGAAGCACTAATCATTTCTGGTGATAAATAAACCAAATCTAGGAACCCATCAACAAACAAATTAAAAGTTGTTCTTCTTTCTTCTGGTGATCCTTTTGAATTAATCATACCTGCTTTAATGTTTTTTTCCCATAAATGTTCAACTTGATCTTGCATTAAGGAAATCAAAGGTGAAACAACAATTGTTGTACCATGTGTAACACCAGATTTTACCACTGCTGGTAATTGATAACATAATGATTTACCACCACCTGTTGGCATAAGAACAAAAGTATCCTTACCTGATAAAGTTGCATTAACAGCTTCAAGTTGATTTTGTCTAAATGATGATAATTTAAAAATTTGTCTTAATTTTTCAAAAACTTCAGGTGTCCATTCATGAGTTTCACTTGGTGGTAATTGTGGTATTATAGGTCCATTTAATTCTTGTAATTCATCATCATCAAAATCATCTGGGAATGGTGAACTTGGTAATGAATTTGAAAAATCATCTTCATTAACTATAGATCTTCTTGGAGGAGTTGGAGGAGGTTGAAATTGAGGTCTTTGACTTTGTACACGAGGTGCTGGCGGTGGTGCATGATATGAAGTATCAGCATCAATTGATTCGATTTCTAAATCTAAATCGATAACATCTTGTGGATTATTTGTAGCTTCACGTTCTTCATTATATGTATATGTCGGTGCAATAACTTCATCATCTTCGTCATCATCTTCCATTTCGAGATCTTCAGAATAGATTTGACTAAACTTTCTACCACCAACTTCTTCAAGATCATCATCACTTCCAATAATTTCATCATCTTCGTCGTTATCTTCATCATGATTTGTATACCTGTGACGCAGATGATCTTCTCCATTATCAACATGTTCTTCATCACTTGAATTAGCCAAATCTTCAACTTCTCTTCTATCAACCACAAAATTATTATGTTCAGATTCCATATTTGGCATATCATCAGCATCTTCATATTCACCGTCTTCACTTCCTTGATCATCTTCTTCAAGAAATTCACGATCACTTGTATTTGGGTTTTGATCTTCAGGATTGATTTGACTTGTAACCAGACCATCACCTTCAAAACTTAAATCTTCCTGTTCTTCTTCAAAATTATTTGGTCTTCTTATATTTGGTCTTGGATTATTATCAATTAATATAGATTCATCAAAATCTTCCAGATCAGAATTAACAGATTCAAATTGTTGTGGTCGTGGATCTTGGTTTCTTCTAAGTTCTCTAGGATCCCTTGATGATTGTAAGACTTCCATATTAGCTCTATTACTCAAGTTGGAAGTCATTGGGTTTAAAGCTGGTACTGGTATTGGAGGAGGTGCTGGTAATTGAGCTCTTGCTGGAGCTGAAGGTGGTGGTAATGATGGAGCGTCAAATGATGGTTTATCAATAGGCTGAGCAGACGATGGTGAAAGTTTCAATTGATTTAGTTCTATCTTTGAAGAAGTTTGTTCTTTGGCCAAAGCGACTAACTGAGCGTTAAGTTCATTTCTTTTCCTCTTTTTTTCATCTTCTGATAAAGCGGTTGATTCATTAATAATATTACGTTTGAGTAATAAATCAATTCTTCTCTCACAAATATCTATATGTAGTTGTTGTGCTTTCAATAATTCACGTTCACTGACAAATTTGGGTACTGTAGTTGAAATTGTTCTTGTAGCTGTTATTGAAGTTTGAACTGATGGGTGTGCTGGTATTGGCCTTGGTGCTGATGGTACGGGTATAGGGACAGTTGTTGAAATTGGAGCGGTTGGTAATCTTCGTGTAGAATCTGGTGCTTTTAGTGATCTATCAGGATTTGTAGAGTTGGATTCCAGGGTGACATCAGCAACGTTATAGCTTGCTTGTCTCCTTATTTCATGTTGATCTAAAGCTTCATTTAGTTCAGTATCATCAAAATCATCACTCGTAAAATCATTAGGTTGTTCTCTTTGTCTTTTAGAGGTTGTTGAAGGCATGGGTATTGGTTCAGTTTGGTGTCTCTTTTTGGGTATTGTTGGTGTTGATTCCATATCATCGTCAAATGTTAGATCAATAACAGCTGGTGCTGGTGTAACAGTTTGCCGTATTATACCTTGTTGTTGTGGAGCAGGCATAGTGGAAGGTTGAGGTGATGAATGTTTACTTGTACTTGATGTTGAGCCTGATGATTTGAGAGTTGAATTTTCCCTTCTAGCAAGTCTAAGACCAGATGATTTCCTAGTTGTTTTTTCAACATTTGATAATAATGGACTAAATTCATTACTTGATTCTCTAAGTGGTGCGCTAGCAGGTTCTAATCTTCCAGCTTGCCTGGATCCCATCTGTGTTGTATTTGAATTAGCCGTAGCAGCGAGTGTGATGTCTTGTAGAGCTGGCTTCTTGGGCACAAAAGCTCGTGACTGTTCTAGCCATTGTAGATGTTGATCTAAATTGTTTTTCATTAGCGCCTTTGATCTCTAGACATATATGATGAGCTGTTGATTCTTTCCTATGAATATGTGTATTTTCGTTGATATTCTTCTTCTGATATACCTTGAGTCTGATGTCTCTACCTTTGAAGACTCAACCTCTTGATCTCCTTCTTGGTTGGTGAGTTTTGGTGGCACTTTTGACGTCGTTTTGATGGTTTGTTTACCTTTTACAAAAATTTGAGATTTTAATAAGGTATACGCGAAAATATGGCATTTGGTAAGCACACGGTATATCAGGTCGATTTGGATTGAAAATAGGTGATGGTTGGAATTTTAAAGTGCTTGTAAAAGTTGAGGTTCTGATAGAGATCAGACTAGATATATATATATATAAAGTGATCTTTCCAAAAATCACTCTTTATACTGTCAATTATCCCTTTATTATTCCTGGTTAATTTCGTCGTTAACGTTTCGCGACTTGATGATTTTTTTCGCGTACGTTTTTGAAGCGCGCTTCAATTCATATAATTATAATATTGAACCATAAAGATTGATTAGCTTAATAGGAAGCAATTACTAAAGTGGACATAATAATATCTCATAATGTCAAGAGAACGTACTTCAGAAAATCTTCCATGGTATGTCAATCACCTTTCATCATATAAGATCTATTATACTAACATGTTATTAGGGTTGAAAAATACCGTCCAGATTCTTTAGATGATGTTTATGGTCAATCAGAAATCGTTGATACAGGTGAGTTTTAACTTGGTTTTAATGACTTGCTTCTAATTACTAATGATCCCATCAAGTTCGTCGTTTTGTTAATGATGGTCGTTTACCACATTTATTATTTTATGGACCTCCAGGTACAGGTAAAACATCAACAATTATTGCATTAGCAAAAGAGATTTATGGTAAAAATTATAAAAACATGGTTTTAGAATTAAATGCATCAGATGATCGTGGTATTGATGTTGTGAGGAATCAAATTAAGAATTTTGCTAGTACGATGCAAATTTTTTCAAAAGGTTATAAATTAATTATATTAGATGAAGCTGATGCAATGACAAATGTTGCACAAAATGCCCTTAGAAGAATCATTGAAAAATATACCAAAAATACAAGATTTTGTATCTTGGCTAATTATGCACATAAATTAAATCCAGCTTTATTATCACGTTGTACAAGATTTAGATTTTCTCCATTAACAGAAAGTTCAATTCAAGAAAATTTGAATAAAATTATTATTAAAGAACAATTAAAATTAACAAATGATGCTCAAGCTGCATTATTAAAATTATCAAAAGGTGATATGAGAAAAGCTTTAAATGTTTTACAAGCTTGTAAAGCTGCAATTGATGAAGGTAATGAAATTTCAGAAGAAATGATTTATGAAAGTGTTGGGGCACCACACCCAAAAGATATCGAAACAATACTGGATTCTATCTTAAAAGATGATTGGAGTTCATCTATTTCAACACTTACCAAGATTAAACAATTAAAAGGTTTAGCATTAATTGATTTATTACAAGGTTTTGTGGAAATCTTGGATCAATATCAATTGAAAACAAGAACAAGAGCTGAAATTTTAAAAGGTCTTGGTGAAATTGAATATGCAATTTCTAAAGGTGGTAATGAAAAAATTCAATCAAGTGCAAGTATTGGAGTTATTAAAAAATCTTTGGAATTTGAAGTTAGTTAGAGATGTGTATATAAGATTCGATAATAATTAGATGTTTTACTACAATCGTATCGTAAAATGATCTAAAATTTGGGAAAAATGATGTGTATATATTATAATCAAAAACTCATCAGGTCAATTACGACTGAATGAAAGTTGATGGTATATATAATTAATGGTTAGCTAAAAACAGATTTCAAATATTCAATATCAATGTGATATATAATTGTATTTGATGAGATCATCAATATTTAACTTTTAAGCTTGGAAAGCTAGCTCACTAGATGAAAGACTTTTCACTCTCTTCATAAATCTCTCAGTAGTAAAACCCGAAAAAGAATGTAATGGTCCTAAACCTATGGAGGTTAAACCAAAGAATATCATTATGTTTAAAGAATGAGAAAGCTATAAAATTTTTGATAATTTCCACGCGATCCCCCATCAACAACATGATTTGGCCACTATTGAAAAGCCTAAACGCACACTTATATAAACACACAATATTGCTTTATTTTAACATCTTAACAACATGAACATCTATTCAACAAGACTATCAATAAGATCATGACAATAAAATACATTCAAAAAGACCTTTTCAAAACCTCAGCACCAGCAATCTTAGCCCATGCTTGTAACACTCATGGTATATGGGGTGGTGGTATCGCCCTTCAATTCTCCAAAAAATTCCCATCAACAGAACGTAAATATATAAATCATTGTCAATCACATACTCCCAGTGAATTATTAGGTACTACCCTTTTAATAAAATCCGAATTAAATGACCCAGGAAATTTAGCTGGGAAACAACCTCATGTTATTGCATGTTTATTCACTAGTAAAGGTGGTGGAGGTGATGCAGATTCACCTCAAAAAATTGTTGAGAATACTGAAAGGGCAATAAAGGATTTAGAAAACCAATTGAATGATACAATGGAAGATTGGTTATTAGATACAAAACCCACTGAAGGGAATTGGTTGATTGAATTACCAAAGATTAATGCCGGGATTTTTAGAGTTCCTTGGGATGAAACTGAAAAGGTATTGAAAGGTAGTGAAAAGTTGGATTTTACGGTTTATGTTGTATGAATGTTTATGTTTATGAATATATATTATATGTGTTTTGTTTATTTGTCATTAAATCATTAAAGTTGTAGGGGGGTTGGATTATTTATTACATATGCATTTCTAAAAATGGTTTAGAAGCAACAAAACTAAAACCTTGAAATAAATCATTATCAAATTCTGTTGTAGTATTAGGTTGTGTATCTTGATTATCTTGAGGGTTTTTATCTTCTTTTTTCATTATTTCTCTTATATAATTATGATCAAAATTTGTTGCTTTTCTTAAATCAGTTGTATCAGGAATGATTGGTGGTTTTAAATTTCTTAAATTTTTCCAATCAATCTTTCTAAAAAATCGATGTTTTTCCAAAATAGTAAAGTCTTTATCAATATTCATTCTTTTTTGTGGATTTTTATTAATTAATTTCCTTAGCAGGTCCTGGGCATCTAATGATAAATATTTTGGAATTTCTAATTTTTTTTCAATAATTTTTTTAAAAATTGTTGTTTTATTATTACCAGTAAATGGAGATTTCCCCGTTAACATATCAAACATCATTATACCTAAAGACCACCAATCTGCAGGGAATGAATATTCTTCACCTTTTAAAACTTCAGGAGCTGTGAATTCTGGGGTACCTAATATTGATTTACAAATTTCATCCATTGAACTTAATCCAAAATCTGTTAATACTATATGACCTTGGGCGTTTAACATTACATTTTCTGGTTTTAAATCACGATAAACTATACCAGCTTGGGAATGTAAATGATAAATAGCCTGAGAAATTTCAGCTAAATAAAAAGCTGTATCATTTTCATTAAATCTATTTGATTGTGATAAATGATAAAAAATTTCTCCACCGGGAATATATTCTAATATGAAATTTATATCTTCAAAATCATGAAATGCATAGAATAATTTCACTATAGATGGATGATTCATCTTACTAAGTATTTCACGTTCATTTTTATGAGTTTTATAAAGTTTTGTATCAATAGAAATCTTGGCCTTTTTAATTGTTTTTTTAGCATACAGTTTCTTAGTATAAATATCTTCCACTAAATAAACACGACCATAAGAACCAATACCCAAGATATTAATCTCTTCAAAATCATTAATAGTTCTATTTGATAAATCAGATGAATAATCTTGAATAAATTCTAAATTTTGAGAATTTATTGGATTATTATTAATTGAAATTTTAGAAAACACTGAACTTCTTCTTCTTGATATATTTGAAAATTTTCTATTATTATTATTTAGAGTAGATGGAGGTTTTAACAAAAACTCTTCATCATTTTGGAATATTTCATCATCTAATTCATCTTCAGAATCAGTCATTATAGCTGTGAAATCAGTTGAAGTTTCATTAGACATGAATAACCCAGTATTTCTATGAATTTTTGTATGCATTGTGATGATATTTTATAGTATATAGATTGAATTTTTGTGTTGATTTTTTTATATTCATTTGATGAACGTGTTGAACGAGTGACTGTATTATACTGCCAAGTGAGTAGTGAGTCTATTGATTGTCTATTTGTTGCCTATTGTTTACTAAGTTGAACATCACTTTCTGGAGAAGTTTTAACTAAAATTATACGGCTTTGCATGAAATTCGCGAATTTGCTTAGATTTTCACTTTTGCAGAATTTTAAAGCGAAGAAAAAATGGATCAGTCAATTCAAAACAAAGAGTGAAAATTGAAAAAGAAGAATCATGCCGGCTTTATACCTCTAGCTTTCAGAAGTTTGTGTTATTATTTATGCTATCAGTTGTGTTAAATCCTTTGTCTCCATCGCTCATGATAGTGACGTTGAATGTATTTGAAAGCAAATCTAGTACGAATACATTTTTTTTTTGACTTACATTACATCCTAATTTGCTATATGTTGCATTTAGATCAAATATCTATCCATATGCCATGGTAATAGCAGATAATTAGTAATACACTGATTGTTAACCAAACATATTGTTTTATTTCATAGATTCATTTGAACTTTATTAGATGATCAAATAATACATATATGTTTGCAATCTTTTTGAATAATTAGGGATTTGTAGTACTACGATATTGTATTCAAAAATGATGTACCACATGTATTAACAATCACAAAGAACTCCAAACTATATGTTTATTCTTTAGATAATTGAGAATCTTATGGGTTTAGATGTAATATTTGACTAATTATAAAGTTATATAGATCTATTTGAGGTAATTCTCTAAATCAACTATAACTTCATATCAATGTTCAAACTTTGCAGCTTGTCGAGTATGTTCTAAAAAGACAACGAAGTTCTTGGATATTTTAGAATCGGATAGTTTCAATATTTGAATGTAAATTGAACGTATATATAAGTTAGATATCAAGGATTTTATCACTATCAATAAGAGAAGACCATTCAGAAAACTGAAAAAGCATTAGAGTTGATCAGACTCACCATGAGATAATTCTTTGATGGTTTGATCATTGATGTTGATGAAAATGTAATTGATCAATTCTTGAAAAACCAATCAGACAAATATTTAAGTTTGGGATTTGCTTACATAACACACATAAATTTTAAAGCTGCGATCGAATTAGGGGATATTGAATCTTGAACTTCAACCATTTAAACACGATTGAGTTGAGCTCAGTATTACAGAACCTTTGAATGAAGTAAAAAGTTTATCAATGGATCTTCCAGCTTGTTAGTACAGCTATAGTTGTAATCAATTATGGGCTGTATTATATTTCATTATTCTTCGTTAAAGTTTGTTGATTTTTATCTCACTTGAAATCATATATTCATTGTTCCGGCAAAGAATATCTATAATTCGAGATCGTTAATTATCCATATATTTACCATAGTATATATGGTAATATCAGTCCATCATTAATGAACCAAACATATATTGTTTTATTTTATAGATTCATTTGAACTTCATTAGATGATCAAATAATACATATTATATGTTTGTAATCTTTTTGAAAGGGATGTATTGTAGTATATATTGTAGTAATTGTTAATAATATCTACATTGTA